TGGGGCCACGAGGCCGCATGGGGCCACGAGGCCGCATGGGGCCGCGAGGCCGCATGGGGACGCATGGCCACATGGCCACGAGGCCGCAAACCAGGCAGAAGGAAGAACTCAGCTCTGAGCTGAACATTATCACACCTTCCTATTGGCCAACATTTGTAAAACTCCTTGTTTTGTTTTGGTCTTCAGTAAAACTAACTTTCCAAGATACTGAATTTGGGGTTTTAATTAGTTGTGAGTTTTAATTAACATGAACAGAAAAAATATTTGAAATATATCAGTCTGTGTAACGAATACAGTATATATAATATACAAGTTTCATTTTTTGAATGAAACTACTGATTTAAATGAACTTCATGATATTAATTTTATGGCCAGCTAATAAAATTGTGAAGTTTGTCCAAAATTGATTTCTTCTTTGAATTTATTTTGTTTAGTCAATAAGTTGGTGGTTACCATAGCAACCTGATTTCATTTTGTAAGAATAACTGATCATATGGGTTCAGTTTAGTCTGAACTCTTATTAATATTTCTGGATATTTATGCTGTTGTTTCCTCTGCTTATGGATGATTCATGTTTCATATTTTCGTTTTCATAGTTTCTTTTTTCCCCTTCATTAATATTATTTTCTCATAACTCTTGTAAGAATTATTGCTGAAAACGTCTTGAACTTTTCTGGTTATTATTATTCTGCCTCTTGGTTCTGGTTCTGATAGACCCAGAAATGAAAACAGGAAGTCCTGGCTGCTGCTGATGATGATGAAGGAAGTGGGACAGAATCCTGCAGCGAATCTTCATCAGTGATGAAGAGGAATTTGACGGCCTCCAGAACCAGCTGGTTCTGACTGTGAAGCAGAACCTCAAACCGGTTCTTCTTCAGCCTGCCTTACAGGCAGTTCCCCTGACAGCCTGCGGGGGGCGCGCTCTGTTCCAGCAGAGGGTGAACGGCCTCTACTGCCCGCCCCTCCTCTCTGCTTCCTGCTACTCAAAGCGGCGGCCCCGCCCACTGGCTCCACAGCGGACCCAGACTCTGCAGAGTCCAGCAGACGGGTCGGAACCAAGAGTCGGAACCAGGAGATCCAACATGGGTGAGTTGGGTTCAGCATGCTGCTCTCTGATTGGCTGCTGCTCACCTGGATCTGGTGCAGCTGTTAAGTACAAATATCTGATCAATAATCAATAATTGTCCTGCTGTAAAACATCAGTGTGCCTTCTTCAAGGAAGCTGGGAAATTCCAGCTTCAGTCCACCAGGAGGGTTCACATTCCTGGTTCTGGTTCTGGTCNTTTATTGGGGGAAGTTGTGCGCCTGTGTGTGTGTGTGTGTGTGTGTGTGTGTGTAATACCTTGTGGGGATGATTTTCCTGACACATACCACGTCGTGGGGACCAATTGCTCCTTGTGGGGACCGGAGCCTGGTCTCCTCAGGGGGAAACCCTGTGTTTGGGTCAGGGGTCAGATTTAGGCCTAAGGTATGAATTGAGTTTTGGTTGGTTAGGGTTAGGAAAAGGGTAAAGGTCAGGTTTAGGCTGTAGAAATGAATGGAAGTCAATGGAAAGTCCCCACAAAGATAGCAACACAAACATGTGTGTGTGTGTGTGTGTGTGTGTGTTTGTTATATAACCCTCTTTGCGAGAGCCGGCTGAGTCCTGAAGGAGCCGGTTCTGTTCAGATTCTGACTTGGTTCTGAGCATGCTCAGTAGTGCTCAGGTTAGTCGTTGATCTTAACCCAACAGAGGCCTGTGCTGCAGCGTCTGCAGCACAGGCCTCTGTTGGTTCTGCTTATGACTCTGGATCCGTTTGTGTTTTCCAGCCAAGTGTTCAGGATGTGGACCCGGATATCGCAGCCCGCTGGACGCCATGAAGGGTGAGTGGAGGTCTGGACCGGGCCAGAACTGGGCCAGCTCTCTGGTTCTGGAAGTCCAAACAAACCAAACTCAACCAGAAACTTCAAGAAAGTTCAACAGGAAAAACAACTGGAGGGAATTTCAAAATAAAAGTTGTCCGGGTTCTGGTTCTGGTCCAGTCAGAGGTTCTGGTTCTGCCTGCAGGGCCCCGTGAGCGGATTGTCTACCTGCCTTGTATCTACCGGAGCACCGCAGTCCAGAAGCCCGACTATCTGGCCACGGTGGACGTCGACCCCGAGTCGCCCACATACTGCCAGGTAGAATCCAACCAGAACCACAACCCGGTTCTGCTGGACCCATCTGTCTTCTGTCCTTCTGATTCTGTTTTCCTCTCAGAACTCCTCTGGTTCAACCTCAGAACCTCAGCCCAGCTCAACTCTAGGTTCTGTTAATTTCTGGTGGTTCTGATGGTTCTGATGGGTTCTGATGGTTCTG